TCACTGGTCCACGACGCCCACGCTCTGCCCCGCGGGCACACTGCGCCCGCTGAGGGCCTCGACGCCGCGGCTGAAGGAGTTCCGGCGCTTCGACAGCCGCAGCGTGCTGCCGAGCGGCGAGCCCGGCGCGTCGCAGTCCGCCTTCGCGGCAGGCTCGGAGGCCTGGATCGCCGCGAGGCCCGCGGCCTGGGGTCCGAGGGGGGGCTGCTGGGGGGGGGGGGGGGGGCCGCGCCCGAGGTGGCCCCCAATGGCCTCCAGGGGAGGGCCCCCCAGTGGCCTCCAGAGCACCCCCCCCTCGAGGCCCAGCAGGCCCAGTGGGGGCCCAAGGCGAAGCGACAGACTGGGGGGGCACCCTGAGCCAGGATAACGTGGCTTACGCGGCAGCCTCAGGGGGACCTTGTCTGTCCCGTCGCGGCCCTAACCGCGCCGAATCAGGGTCGAATCAGGGTCGGCCTCGTCGGATCCGTGTCGAGTCCGTGTCGAGTCCGCGTCGAATACGCGCCAAGTCCGCGCCGAGTCCGCCTCGAGCCCGCGTCACAAGAACAGACACCCATTTGGGGACAGGCGAGGCCCCCCGAAGACGCAACGCAACCTCCCCGGACATCCGACGCCGCGGTTGTTTGCCCACCGCGTGGCCCACCCGGAGGGCTGGACCCCTCGAGGCGTCCTCCCGAGTCGGGGCCCTGATAGCCTCGCGATGCGACTTGCTCACGACGGCCCTCACAGATCGATCTGGCTCGGAACAAGACGCTGTAAGGTGGGGTCGAGGGCTCTGCGCGCCATTGCTTGCGACGTTTCAGATATTTGGTCGCGGCGTCGGATCGCAGGGTCCCCGAGATCCGACGTCGCAAAAAAAAGTCGAAGCACGGTCAAACATCACGACCCGAGCCCTGAGAGCTGAAGCACCGAGAAGAGTCACGGCCCGAGCCCTAGACCTCCGAGAACGGCGCCCATGCATCGTGCCATGTTGGGACTCCGTTCCGGCCTCCCTCCAGCGCGGCACGGTGCGCAAAGTGTTTTTAGGCCCCGGGCGCCGAACATCTATGCACCGCACCCCTTCCTGGGTCGGGGATCGACAAACGCCCCTGGAGACGCCAACGCGGCACGGTGCACACAGGTCGTCCACGGGAGACCCCAATCCTCCTGCGCCACTCCTCGAGGCGGATCGAGCTGTGAGGGGCCCCGGGCCCGCAGTGGGGCGAAAAGCGCCCGGCGCGTAAAGGTCGAGGCGCCAGGATCTCTGGGGCCTCTGGTCGTGCAGAGGCCTCTCCTGGATGGGGTCGGAGCAGGTGGGGTCGGAGGATCGCGCCGCATCGGCGAGGCACTGGCGAAACACTGGCGAAGCATCGGCGAAACTTCGGCGGTGCATCGGCGAAACCTCGGCGGTGCATCGGCGCACGTCCTGCGCGGAAGAAAATGGGCTCCACATCGAGCCGCATCGCCGATGCGGCGGCGATGCGGCGCGCTACCCCGACCTCCTGCGCTCGGAACCCATCCGGGAGGCCCCTGCCTGGGGAGACCAAGAGGCACGCATATATCGCTGCTCCCCGGGCCTCGACGCCGCGGCTGAAGGAGTTCCGGCGCTTCGACAGCAGCAGCGTGCTGCCGAGCGGCGAGCCCGGCGCGTCGCAGTCCGCCTTCGCGGCAGGCTCGGAGGCCTGGATCGCCGCGAGGCCCACGGCCTGGGGTCCGAGGGGGGGCTGCTGGGGGGGGGGGCCCTCGCCGCGAGGTGGCCCCCAATGGCCTCCAGGGGAGGGCCCCCCAGTGGCCTCCAGAGCACCCCCCCCTCGAGGCCCAGCAGGCCCGGTGGGGGCCCAAGGCGAAGCGACAGACTGGGGGGGCACCCTGAGCCAGGATGACGTCGCTTGCGCGGCAGCCTCAGGGGGACCTTGTCTGTCCCGTCGCGGCCCTAACCGCGCCGAATCAGGGTCGAATCCGGGTCGGCCTCGTCGGATGCGTGTCGAGTCCGTGTCGAGTCCGCGTCGAATACGCGCCAAGTCCGCGCCGAGTCCGCCTCGAGCCCGCGTCACAAGAACAGACACCCATTTGGGGACAGGCGAGGCCCCCCGAAGACGCAACGCAACCTCCCCGGACATCCGACGCCGCGGTTGTTTGCCCACCGCGTGGCCCACCCGGAGGGCTGGACCCCTCGAGGCGTCCTCCCGAGTCGGGGCCCTGATAGCCTCGCGATGCGACTTGCTCACGACGGCCCTCACAGATCGATCTGGCTCGGAACAAGACGCTGTAAGGTGGGGTCGAGGGCTCTGCGCGCCATTGCTTGCGACGCTTCAGATTCTGGTCGCGGCGTCGGATCGCAGGGTCCCCGAGATCCGACGTCGCAAAAAAAAGTCGAAGCCCGGTCAAACATCACGACCCGAGCCCTGAGAGCTGAAGCACCGAGAAGAGTCACGGCCCGAGCCCTAGACCTACGAGAACGGCGCCCACGCATCGTGCCATGTTGGGACTCCGTTCCGGCCTCCCTCCAGCGCGGCACGGTGCG